GAATATGCTGGTTTATATTATAAAGAAATGGAAAGATTGTTTGAGTGTGGGTTTGCTGAAAAGGTCATTGAAGAATCGAGTGACAATCGAATTTATTATTTGCCTCATTTCGGAGTTCGCAATGTAAATAAGCCCGGTAGAGTTCGTTTAGTTTTCGATGCGGCTTCGAAATCCGAATCTGTCAGTTTCAATGACCTTTTATTACCTGGCCCGGACTATTTAAAATCTTTACCAGGAATTTTAATGCGGTTTCGTCAATACAAAATTGCAGTCAAATCGGACATAAAAGACATGTTTATGAAAATCAAAATTATTGATTCGGATCGCGACGCGCAGAGATTTTTATGGAGAGGTTCGGATCGTACAAATGAGCCGACAATTTGTAGAATGCGAGTATTATTATTCGGAGCCAAATCGTCACCTAGCACAGCTTTGTATATTAAAAATAAGAATGCGATGACTTTTCAATCTCAATTTCCTATAGCTTCACAAAAATTAATTGAAAATTGTTACATGGACGATTATTTAGATAGCTTTGAGTCTAGTCAAGAAGCGAATGACATAGTAAAACAAGTGATCAAAATCAATGAAAAGTCAGACTTTAAAATGCACAGTTGGTCAAGTAATTGTCGTTTGGCTCTTGTTGATATTCATTCGTCAGCTCAATCAAAAGAGATTATAAATAGTTTAAACCTGGATGAGAGTGTAGAAAAGGTGTTAGGTTTGAAATGGCTTAATAGCTCAGACTGTTTAACCTTTAATTTTAACAGCAAGAAAATTTCACCTGAAATTTTGCAAGGAGTTCAAAGTCCGACTAAGAGACAGTTTCTAGGTATCATTATGTCTATTTATGACCCTTTAGGATTTTTGTTACCTTTTTTGATTCAATCAAGATTTTTAATGCAGAAAATATGGAAAAGTAAAATACATTGGGACGATTTGATTTCGAATGACGAATTTATCGTGTGGAAAAAATGGCTTCTCGAGTTAAAAAATATTGAGTCAGTTAAAATTAATCGTTGTTATCAGTTGCGAGACTTTCAAAAAAAAGATGCCGAGCTACACGTATTTTGCGATGCAAGCTCAAATGCTTGCGCAGCTGTCTGTTACTGGCGCTTTCATATAGGCGAGGAAAGGTTTCACGTAGCTTTTGTGATGGCGAAAAGTCGTGCTATAGCTCTTAGCGACAAAAGTACGATTCCTAGATTAGAATTACAAGCCGCCCTGATTGGAGTGAGATTAGCTGAATTTGTCGTACGCGAACATGATTTTTTTGTTAAAAAGCGATACTTTTGGTCAGATTCTACAACTGTTTTGAGTTGGATTCGAAAGAATCCATTAGAATTCAAAAGTTTTGTCGCGAATCGTGTTGGTGAAATTCGTAAGAAAACAAATCCGGATGAGTGGCATTGGGTAAGCTCAAGTCAAAATGCAGCTGACGACGGTACGCGTTTTAGGCCGGAGGCTTTGCAAAATAAAAGCCGCTGGTTATCAGGTCCACCCTTTCTATTTGATTCGGAAATTGACTTAAACAATAAATTAGATTTGAGTATCACCGAAAAGACAGTCGAGACGGAAAAAGAATTTATTACTAGAGAAGAATTTATTTTATTGACTAATCATTTCTCTCCATTAATTGATTTTAATCGATTCTCGACGTTTTTACGTTTGACGCTCACTTTAGCAAAAGCTCTTGAGATTCTTGATATTTGGATGAAAAGAAATATAAACTTATTCGAAACTCGGACTGAACGTTTTGAAAGAGCAAAGACATTAGTGTTGATTCAAAGTCAAGTTATTTCCTTTCAGGCTGAAATTGCCTCGTTAAAATATTCGGGTACGGTTCGTAAAAATAGTAAAATTACAAATTTATCTCCTTACGTCGATGAAAATGGTTTACTGCGATCGGACAGTAGAATCCAAAATAAAATCAATCAGGAGTTTCGAAAAGATCCGATAATACTCGATGGCGATGAAAGACTTTCGAGATTAATCATTCAACATTATCACGAAGAATTTTTTCACATGCATCACGAAGCGGTTATCAATGAAATTCGTCAGCTGTATTTCATTATTGGTTTACGTCGCGTTTTTAGAAGTATCGTTGCGCATTGTCCGACGTGTCGACAATTAAGAGCAAAACCATATCAACCACGAATGTGTGCTCTACCCGATGCTAGGCTGGCTTATCGAATGAGGCCTTTCAGTCATTGCGGTCTCGATTACTTTGGACCTATTTGGGTAAAAATAGGACGAAGAAAAGAGAAACGGTGGGGAGCGATATTTACCTGCATGACGGTTCGGGCAATACACATCGAATTGGTCGATAATTTGAGCGCGGATTCTGCGATCATGGCTTTACGTAGATTTTCGGCATTGAGAGGTTTCCCGGTGTATATTTATTCTGATAATGGAACATGTTTCGTTGGAGCTAATAGAGAATTGTTAGAGGCGATCGAATCAATTGACTATGCAAAATTGTTTCAATTTACGTCAAAAAATAATATAGTTTGGAAGTTTAATCCACCTACAGCCTCCAACATGGGAGGGGCGTGGGAGAGACTTATCAGGTCGGTGAAGTGTGCGTTAGCGGCTACTATTAGACATAGGCATCCAAAAGAAGAAACCTTACGTACCATTTTAGCGGAAATTGAACATAGTGTAAATTCTAGGCCATTAACGCACGTTTCAGCCGACCCTCATGATTTGGAAGCTCTCACCCCAAATCATTTCCTGATTGGATCCTCTTCAGGACAATTATGTTTACCACGATATACTTATAAAAATTTAGACTTAAAGAAAGAATGGAAAAAAGCTCAAATGTACGCGGATGAATTCTGGAATCGATGGTTACGCGAATATCTTCCAACATTACATTCTAGAAAGAAATGGCAAAAGGACCAACCTCAATTAAAAATAAACGATTTAGTTATAATTACCGATGAAAATGTACCAAGAAACTGTTGGAAAAAGGGAATTGTAATTCGTGTTTTACCAGGCGCCGATAATAGAGTAAGAGTTGTTGAACTAAGAACGGAAAACGGAGTGTTAACAAGACCTAGTAATAAATTAGTTAAGTACGCATGAATAGATCATGCGGGATCACTTGTCTGAGAATTGACTGTAAAACCTCACTCAAAAGAGAAAGGTATTCTTTGAATTTGTGTCAAGGCCGCGTCGCGAAAGAATTGCTTTCGTGGGCGCAGAATCTTTGCCAATGAATTTTGATTCAGTAAAAGGCAAAGCTACGGGGTAGTTAAGCGCAGAGGCTTGTCTACGGACGGTTGGCTGGACAAATTCGGGTTTAATTTTCTTGAGAGTTGGTAAGAGTAATAGATATGAAATAAGACGCAATTGTAAATTATATAATTTGTTTTATTTATGATTGATGTTTACTATTAAAGTTTAAGAATACAAAATATAAAATTTTGTAGGTGAGGAGGATGTTACCGATAGGATAAAGAAGTTTGCGATTTACCGACAGGCTAATATAAGTTTTGATTTTTCGAAGAGCGAGCAATTGTTCTTTAGTCATAGTGATGAATTGTTTTTGTAGTCATAGCGATGAAATTGTTACCTTTTTTTTTTTTTTTTTTTTTTTCTGGACAAACGACACACGAGCTTGCGCTCGCCCTTTTTTTTGCTATTGGCTTTTTTTTCGCGTCGAGAGCGGTCGCTTGTGACTTTTGCTCTAATAAACGCTTAAAAATAAAACGAAAACTGTCTGAAGTTTTATTCCTTTTAAGAATTAAAAAAGCTTGGTCGAAAACAAAGCTAAAAACAGAATTCGTGACAAACGTGTATTTTTTATTGGTTAAATTTTTAATATCTGGCACTTATCGGTTTTCGGAAATTAATAGTATGATTCTATAATAAAAATTGGAATTGAGTTTTAGCCAGTCAAGGCTTTGAATGTCATATTAGCATACCTAAAATTACTTTTCAGAATTTTGTTTATTTATTAATAGACAATAAACCTGAACATTTTATATCTGCTACTGCTCGGTTTCGGCAAGAAATAATATGATTCTATAATGAATATTCGAGTTGAGTTTCAATAATTCATGGCTCTAGTAATTCTTTTAATTCCATTGTTACACATAAAATATGAATTAGAATAACTTTTTGTTAGGTACTCGTAATTTTTATGTTTATATAAAAAATTTCAGCTTTCAAGATAGGTGCGCCCGAAAAAAGCAACACATTGATTTTTGCATTGAGCAACTCCAGATAAACTGAGTGCTTATGTTGCACGTCAGTATCAAGTGCTTGTTAATTGATTTTTACTTGTTCTAAATAATAAGAGATTGAAATAAAAAAAATGAGCTGAATGAAAATTGTTGTTTTGTTAATTTAAAAAAATTTATAACCTAGAATGTTCAAAAAAGCGTGGCAAAGTCAATTTTTTCAACAAATAAAATGTTACCATTAAGGGAACTTGCTAGGACCTCTAAATAAAATTTTGGTACTCATGAGCTAGTAAAATGTATTTCAAAATCTTTGCGATTTTTTTTCGATATTTGACGTGAGATCAAAAGTGAACAAAATACGTTTTAGATAATACAATTTAAAATGTTGGTTTGAAAAAAATAAGAAGAAACGTTCGGTTGTATTCGTGGTGCATACCGCTTTGCAAATTGTCCGTTTCTGTAGATTACTTTTCATCAAAGATGTAAAACTTTAAACTTTAATATTGTGCTTGTGGGGGGCGAGGGAGGGGTAAAAGTACATACCCGGCAGTTCATACAGAACCTCCTTCTTTTCAGACGGCAAGAAGTTAATTGAAATAATAAATACGAAAATAGCTTACTTACAGCTAACCCCTGAGTTTAAATAGCTATCTTTTGCACTTCCTGTATTATTTTTCGACTTGTCAGTGCGCACGTGTGCAAAGCAGCTGACTGCGTCAATATCGCTCCCGTATTTTGAAAAACACGCATTGCTATTGGCTCTCGTTTTACGAATGCGCGTGCGTCGGATGTAGTTGCCACAGTTGTAGCTCTCCGTTGTCATCAATGATATGGTAATGTGCGTAACACTTTTTTGCCAAGTTTTTTTGATAAATGTAAAAATTGAAAAGAATTCTGAAAATTCTTCGTTCTAGTTATAAAAATCTGATTGGAGATAAAGAGCCGGAGCAGCATATTTGAATGAACAAAAATGGGCTGAAATATGTGTACACAATCGGAGCGAGGAAGCTTTATTTATTTATGTTTGACGTGAGTTTGAACAATATTCGAAATCTCTATATCTCCACATTATCACGAGGAAACTGGCTGCACTTTTCAATAACTGTTTACTAGCTAATATATTTTATTGACAATGAACAATTTCGAGGTTATCCATTAATCTTTGTGTAGATATTGTTTATTTATTTTTTGTTCCATTATTAAATGTTTAAAAATACTGTGATCGAATAAATTAAAGCTAAAAGTATAACGTACTTCTGAAGTCAAATTTATTTGATTGAAATGCATAACACAGTTTTTTATTAAATATTACTATGTAATTAATATTTACTTTATTTTTGTAAAATATAAGTTCAATGTTTATGTTATTTCAATATTCTTAATTCTGTCTTTGCAAAAGAAAGTTTACGAGCCAAATTTTTTATCCGCTCAAACAAAATCAACGCGACTTCAAATTAATAATATATATTTATCATCAAATTACCTTTCAATATTTATTTTAAAGCAACATATAAGTATTACGAGGAGTTTTATATATACACTATAAACACATATATATTTGTTCAAGGCAGATGTTATCATAAAAACGATAAAAAACGTGGCAACTTATTACGTTTGACCAATTGACAGGTAAACTCCAGAGATCAACTGTAATAAATGAAATATTTTTTGTTACAGGATAGCTTTTGTTTAACGCATCCTTGATTAAGAGATAAATGTAATATCTCACATCCGAAAATGGCAGAAGGTACCGTCGACACGGACAATCGCATAGACGGCAACCAAAGACTGGTTCAACTGTGTAAAAAGCCATGGATCCAAGATGACGAAGAGTCAATAAAAATAATTTCAGAAATGGAGGAATTGCTGGTGCAAGAAGACATCGACGTGAACGTCGTTGATAAAGATGGGCAATCGGCCCTTCATTACGCAGCGCAATCAGCTCGCATCCACCTAATTGACGAGCTGATCCATCTCGGCGCAGACGTTCACCGTAGAGAAAACAAACGTGGTTTCACAGCATTGCACTTCGCAGTTCTCTCCGGCACCATAAAATCAGCCGTGGAGCTTCTTTTGGCAGCTGGAGCGGACGTCAACGCCGAAGCTGATTTCACTGTCACTCCTTTGCACATTGCATCGTTTATAGGCCCAATGGACGTACTTACGTGTCTGCTCGAACGCGGGGCTGATGTGAACCGGCGCGAAGCAATTTTTAAATTCACCCCGCTACTCATTGCAACTTACCACGGCAGCAGTGAAATTGTGGATCTGCTGATCAGCAAAGGCGGTGCTAAGGTCAATGCTGCGACCGATGAGAACTTGACTCCTCTGCACGTAGCAGCAATGCTCGGCGATGTGAAAATCGTGAGAACATTGATCAAGTCAGGAGCGAATGTAAACTGTAAACATAAAAGTACTCAGTTAACGCCTTTGCATTTGGCATCGACGAGCGGCCATAACGAAGCTGTCAACGACCTCATAGAAATCGGTCAAGCACTGACGAACGTCGGAAGCAGCGTAATCACGGAAACGATGACGTATTGTTCGATATCGATGGACGGTCGTCAGGCCGTCGTCGACGTACTGTTAAAAAATGGCGCCGACTTGCAAGCTAGAGATAATTCCGGCAAGACAGCTTTGCACTTGGCGACTCGTCATCGAAGCAACGTCATTGAAATTCTTTTGAAGGCCGGTGCTGACATCGACGCAACGGATAAGGACGAGCATGTGCCGTTGCACGAAGCAATAAAAAATAAAAACGGCGAAGGTTTGGCTTTGCTACTTTCGTACGGGGCGGATATCAATGATGTATTCGAGCAGTGCGAGCCTCGACTTGTTACGACTGCGCTTTACGATTACGTACCGTTTCTGTTGCTCGAACATTTCACCAAAATGATAGCTGCGAGATTGCTGATCGCCAATGTTTTCAAGCGCTACATCAGCCAATACGGCTTGCAAGTTTATTACGGCGAGTGCGTAAAAGAAGTGGATAAGATGAGGAATTATAAGCTTGGCAATGAAATTGTTCTTTACAATTTGTTGCACATGAATCCAATGCGTCGCTTGACTTTCATTAAAAATGTACCCGTTAATCTTGAATCTAAATTTCCGAAGTACTGCGGTATTATTAGAGCTAGTTTTTTAGAAGCTAGTAGGAGGAAACCGTTAATACAACCATCAATGGTGGCTTGGAATCGATTAACTGGAATTACTTGGCCTGAAAAATGTCTAGTATATTTGCTTGCTTTCCTTGATAATGGGTTACTGAAAATGATTATTAAAGCTGCTGCCATCAAACCTATTGTCAAACAGGTAACGCTTAACTTTTTATTTAATAAACAATCAAATTATTAGGAGATCAAACAAAACTGTTAATTTATAAATTTTTAAATTCTACTCACGGTATAAGGAGAATCATTTCAACACCTAAATCTTGTTATTTCAGGAAACACTACCAAAATAGAAGAGTATAAGTAATCCAATGAGTATCATATTGGATATTTTTTCTACATTGTAAGGTAATTAAAAGCAAGTGTCTTGCATCATAATTATTTTATAGAAGTTTCTTAAAAAAAAAGACTCGTTTTTTGATAATAAAAATGTGATGTTAACGAATGACTTCGACCTCGACGAAGTTAAGAAAAACGAATAAACTTTATTGCATCAAGCGACCGTGTAGGCCGATCTTCTAATGGAGGTACTACTAATACTACTCCGAAGAGATGTAAAAGTGAATTGCTCCGACAAAATTTTAAGGCCACTGACACTTGCATGTAGTGAAAAATTAAGATTGAATCATTTCAGATTTGAGAAACTGAATTCAAAATTAAAGTTTTGTGAACGTTCAATTGTAAACCAAAATCTTTTGGGTATATACGTTCCGATTGCTTCATTTACAATTACCGGTTTTGACACCATTAGTCAAAGCTAATTTTCATTACACGAACAATTAGTTTACAAAAATTATTTTCTTTGAATTACCTAATTGTAAATAGTAAATCTGTACTTAATGAAATTTTTATACAATTTTCTTATGAATTTGTATATTTTCTTAATATATTTAAACAATATAATTTCTCTAGTGATGTGTTTAAAAATATTTTTGAATAAAAATTCTAATTTGATCAATTTTTAATTTAATTTAATTTAGCCTTATTTAACCTTAGTATCTACAATATTAAATTATTATGACATGCGATTGACAAATATGAATAATACAGTTATTTAACATAACATGAAAATAAAATAATACTTAATTTAAATGCAACAAAATACCTCCTTCATTCTCATACACAGTAAAGTAAGTATCTACTTGATTATACCAATAAAATGTTATTATTGGTGGTTTATTAATCGAAAAATTTAATAAATTTCAATACAATATTTAACTATACAAACCGCTATTTGAAAAATTGATAAATAACTATTTATAAAGTGGTTGAAAATTATCAGTGCCTGGATAATTGATAAAAAAAAATTGCACATGATCCTGGTACATGAAGTGAAATCTCCAATAATATAATAGTATTAATTATTTAGAATACCATATTATATAATATCACTTCATTATTATTTTTATCGATGAATAATATTAGTAGAGATACAATTGTGCATTTGAACATATTTCTACTTATGAAATAGTATTAATTAACGAATACGAAGTTTTAGATTTCTTTTGCAAAAATTCTGGTACAAGCTATATTAAAGTTAAGTAGAGTAAAACATTTAATGATTTATTCGAAATTGCGAAAAATTGATACGGAGAAAATTAATAAATTGAAAAAACATTTCATTAAAGATACTCATAAAGAACATAAAAGTAAACATCTTATTCTGAAAAAATAAAATGTATTTATTTTTGAGTGTGTTAAATAATTCTATCTGCGTTTATTGATTATGAAAATATCAATGATATGGGAAAATAGGTGCCCTCAAAATCAGCGTATCCATGGGAATATCGAACAATCAAGATAATTTAGCTTTTATTCGCATGAAAAAAATGAAATATTGTAGTTATTTGAAAAATGTTAATGGAGTGGTAATAGATTTTAAAGTTGAAAAATAATTTTTATATGTAAATAAGCCAAAACCAAAATAAAATTAATATCTATAACACAGCCAACTTATTATATACAATAGATAAGCCTCATAGTCTACCTCTCAGTCGTGCACGTGTAGTGCGACAGTATACCTTCATTCTTTACGTGTTCTACATTATAAGTTTGAGCTATTTTATAAGATATTCAAAATTAATCTTCCCTAATTTAATTAACTATTGATATAACTGTGTGATATAATAATTTGTGTTTCAAAATAAGGAAGAGTGCATTTTTTAAAACTATTTGTTCGAAGAATCACAAATTAAGCAATAGTACGTAACTGCAAGTTTTATTAATTTTATATATTTATGTAGAATAATTAATTGACAGATAAGTTTGATATTTTAATAAAAACTAAATATTAATCTAAATGAGACAGTTTTTCTAACGTCATTTTTCTCAAAATTTCCTAAAGACGCTTTTTTCATAAATGGCATTATACGATCTTGATGGTTTTTTCTGTCCACTTACTGGAATTTATTTATTTGTTAATATAAGTACATTGTTGAAAAAGAAAGTGTTTTGGAAAAAAGTATTTTGAGCGAGCTTCATGTAAAATGTAAAATTTAATATGTGTAAACAAAATGAATTGAAATTGACAATACTCAATAATTGTAAAATGTTTCCAGATTTCTTACCATTATTTAGGAAAAACTCATAAAATCATCATGTTCACCAGCAATTGGGTCGAAAAGAATGCCAATGATTACGACGAACTTATTTCCGCTATCAATAGAGGCGATGCAAATACTGTAGAATCTATACTGAATAAATGTTCTATATCAGGCTGGGAAGCTAATCCTCTTTACGACGCAGTTTCGTGTAAAAATGAAAGAATCAAGCAAATGATGTGCGATCACTACAGAAAATTTGACAGATACAGTGTGATTGTATTGAAAAAGATAATCAACGACTGGGATAACTTCACTGCCAGAGATAAAAAAATCTACGAAACGATTATTTACGAATTGACTGTCAACAACGACAATATAAGTAAGAACAACATGAGTGGATCAGTGCTTGCCCAAGCATGTGGATCGGGTACCATCGACATTGTCAAAGTATTAATAAAGCAAGGAGCAAACTTGAACTTTACGGAAAAAAATTCAAAAATAGCACCACTGCACGTAGCCATACTGAAAAATCAAGCAGCTATAGTAGAGGAGTTGTTGAGAGCAGGAGCCAATGTCAACGTGTCGGACAAAGATGGTAAAAGATCATTGCACTTCGCCGCGGAAACCGGAAATGTAAATATCATGAAAGCATTATTGAGACACGGTGCCAGTCTCGACAGTAAGAATTATAGTTCGAAATGTACACCTTTGTATCTAGCTGTTGAGAAAGGTCACGTGAGCATGGTTGAAGAATTGGTTAAAGCCGGCGCCAGTGTAAGCATACCAGCAAAATGCGAGAAAAATCCGCTGCACCTCGCATCCGAACTGGGATTTTCAGAAATAGCGAAAGTGTTGTTAGCTTACAAAGCTGATCCCAATTGTGAGATCGCTGTCACCCAATACACGCCATTGTTTCTAGCCGTGGAAAAGGGTCATCTAGCCGTAGTAGAAAGTCTGTTGGAAGCTAATGCTCGTGTAAATGCTTTAGCTGCAGATGGCAAGACTCCGTTGTACGTGGGATTAGAATTTGATAGACATGAAATTGTCAACGTGCTGCTTGAACATGGCGCCAACGTACACGTCAGAGATAATACTAACAGCTCAACTCTGTTACACACTGCTGCACGCTATGACAACAAGATTATGATTGAAAAGCTAATTGCTATAGGAGCTGATATTCATTCGAGGGACATATCCGGGAAAACGCCACTTCAAGTAGCAGCTCATCATGGAAAAGAAGCCGCGCAATTGCTGTTATCGTTGGGGGCTGATAAATCCTTGCAAGATTATAACGGACAATTGTCTTTTCATGAAGCTATTCAAAATAATCTCCAAGTAGTAGATTTATTTTTTGATGTGAATGAAGCAAGACAAAGTCATGCTTTTCATGAGTTTGTCAATGATTTTCTAGAAAAATGTCACTGCCCGTTTAATTGTTCTGCAAAATCAAATGATTCTATCGATCGTGTGATGATGCACTTAATAAAGTTCGATGCTATAAATATACAAATTCATGACCATAGTCAGCTAAAATTTCATAAGATTAACGGAAAAAAATATTACGACGATTGTTTAGCTGAAGTTGAACAATTGAAGCAATTTGTTTTAGTCGATGACTCCATATCTCTTTACGACTTTTTGCATATGAAACCAAAACGTAGACTTGCTTATATTGAGCGCATACCAGCTGATCTTGTAGAATATAAAATATACAACCATCTTATTGAAGATTACGTGAATGAAACTATTGAGAGAAAATCACTTTTTGAAATGACCAGAAAAGCTTTGTATGAAATATCAAATATCTTTCTCCCGGATATCTGCGTCGAATATATATCTGATTTTTTAAGCGTAGAAAATTTAAGAAATTTATGTAATATTTAAATTTTCAAACAAATTCTAACAGTTATTTCGAATGAATTTTTAGAGATTATATGATGCTATTCAAACACTGAAATATGAAGCTAAATCGCTGTTGAAAAAAGTAAAGCATTGTCTTTAAATCTATTAATAATGTAATTCGTGCGAGTCACTGTTTTTCGTGAGAATATTCTGGACATCTTTTTCATGTTATGAGTTATTATTGTACTTGTTTCAACACATCTCCTATGAAGTTATAAAAATAACGTGACAAAAAATACCATGCCTATTGTCTGATTTTTATAAAATACAAATGAAATATGTCCATCACATTATATCGATTCAAAAATGATAGAATAATATGAATGTTATTACAGTAGGTAATCACTTATTTATTCTTCGTGTTAAATGTTTAACCATACGTTTATGTTCATAAGCAAAGTATTACATGTTCGAAATTTCGATTTGTTATCATTACGAGAAAAAAATGTAAAAACTGCTTTATTTATTTGTTTTCGACATAAATTAATACGAGAATCAATAACCCATTAAATTCAAACCGAATCTATTAAGAAAAAAATCACGCGGTAGATATTATTTTCATGTATTAGGAGTCTTTAACACGCACATGATGTAAATTCTAGGTAAAAATGATAACTGTAATAAGAAAAGTAAGCATACTGGAAGAATAACTATTGGAAGAGCAACTATATTATAATTTTCACATAAGTTATAACACAGAAAGAATCCTAATTATTTTTATACTGTTATTAATTCACTATAAATTATTCAAGACTTATGTTCCTATTCATAGCCTAATAAAATGTATATCAATTGTAAAAAATTATTTACAATTTTTTTTAATTCTTTATCTGAATCACAAATAAAATAAGTGCTAAAAAATATTATCAAGAAATTTTTATACTTAGATCTTGATCAATCATTATAAAAATAAGTAGACGCTGTAAATTGCCAGTACGTCTATTTTTAAATAATGAAAAATCAAATTATCAACTGTTACATTCACATTTCCGAGCCTTGTTCTAAAATTAGCCGAACTTTTGGTACACAGAATAACTCTATCAGAATTTTTATTTCTGTTAGCCACTATGATCCCTTAAAAAATCAATGTTAACAATCCAAACTCGCCGGACGGCTACACGAGCCGATCATATCGACGGTGGGAATCATGGACAGGCGACTCTCCTGACCGGCTTGCGGCTATCGAGTTTTCTTACTTACGCCAAAGATAATTTTTAAAACCTGTGCCGTTGTATTTACAAAAGTATCGGAGAGTGGAAAAAAAGCTGTCGGAGAAGAAAAAACCGTCGCTTATTTCTGTCGTTTAGGGCGTACTCAAATTCGCCGCTACTCTTTTTGCTCACGTAATTCTTTTTTTTTATTATATGACGTAAATTCCTCGTGGAAAAATGAAAAACAAGCAATTTATCTGCAAATCATGGTCTACAACATAAACAGTTGAAAGGAAGAAAGGTAACATTAATTAGATTTACAGAAATAAAACATCTTAATTAAAATTTGTATTCTACAAGAAAATTTTGCAACTCTCGCCTAAAAAAATATAAACAACTGAAGAAAAAACTAGTTTTTTCGATTATGGAAATTGATAATAAAAGATTTAACCAATTAATCTTAGGCCGAGTCTTACATTCATTGAAAACCTCACCTGTATTTTAACGCTAATATTGTACAAGATAAACAATTAATTATTGTCATGTAACAAATTGTAATAAAAATTAAGAAATAAAAAAATATCCTGATTTTAGTGAAAATTGCTTAAGGCATAATTCTCTACAATTTTCTGCATATAAACCGAAGTGAAAGAGAATTTTTCATTTATTATAACTTAATATTAGGTGTTTATCATAAGACTATCGTACGAGAAAATTTACAAGATTATTGTAATGAAAAAAAAATGAACTTGCATTGTTTCAGCTGACCGAAGCCGATTTGCAAGAATCTCTGGTGAAGTTGCTTAAAGCCGCGGGAAGATGACTTAAAAATAACAGCGGATGCTTGTGCATACAAACGAATATTTCAAAGAAAATTTTCATAAAATTGAAAGGCCGGATAGAATAACGACTTGAGCGCGCGAGCCTACCAGACTAGCCGCCTCTGAGAGTAGGCAATCACCGCTATGCGTTGAAAAACATTTCCGATTAAAAAAACATTAACAAACATTATTCTGGCAAACAAACTTACAGTGAGAAAGTTGTTCATAACGGCTCCAAATATATGCCTAGAAATTGTTAATAGTCTATATATTATATTTTCAAAGATATGGAGCTATATTTACGTATCTATTTGATACGATTATCGCGCGCGTGCTCTAGTAACGCAGTATTGTGAGAAAAACGATAAAATATCTTTCATGCTATGAATAAAACTCTTCAATATAGTAAATATTTATTTTCTTATTATATATTAATTGCAAACAGGTGAAACTTGTGTAACTCTTCAAAGAAATCGAATTTTCTTTTCATATCATTGAAATGAAAATATAAATAAATGATTCAAAATAGTAAGTATCAATTTTTTTTCTTATTTATTGATAATTGTCAGCAGGTAAATCTTATTACACTCTTTGAAAAGTCGAAAATTGTAATTACAATAAAACTCTTCAATATAACAAATATCTATTTTCTTATTATCGATTAATCGTCAACAGGTAAATCTAATTACACTTTAAAAATATCGTAACAATTTTCAGAACTAATTTTTTTCTATCGATTTATTCGATATTCAAAGTTTTATTTATACTTTTCATTTATGATAATTATTTTAAAGTTTCTACCCAAATATTTATTCAAGTACATACTTATGTAGCAACAATAAGTGTTTCAACGAATGAATAACGAAAGTATTTGTGCAAAACGATCTCTGTTAATGACCAGAAAAATATTTACAAAAAATATTTACAGAACTGTAATTTCAGAATAATAAATGAAGACATTAATAATAAAGAAAGACAGCATTGAATTTCCCCGTTAAAAAACAACACAATTTCATTATGGTGAAGAATGTAATAGACAGGTGCAGACGTGGAATCTCCGGAAATTGACGAACTCCACTACATGTATCCGTTAATTTAATAACTATAAAAATGTTTTTGGCGAACTTGATTTTGGAAGAGACACCACTTCTCCGGGTGATAACTAAGATAAAAAAAAGCAGTTATGTACGTGTGTCTCATTGTTGACACTTCCAATGAAAATGAATGTATGCTCATAAACTTTGAAATAGAAACCTCGATATTACGATCATCTGTTCATATTAAATGCTGCAAAATTGCCTCTTGTTATAAACTATATATAATATTGTAAATTTAAATTAGATTGTTGTCGCAAAGATCTAATGAAGAAAACACTGCTATAGAAATAGTTCAGTTGATGTTTTTTAAATTTATCGACATAGAGCAGCTACCGATAATTTACGTGAATAACTGTCTTAAGTGTAATAAATATGAAGCGACAATTGAAGAATGCCGAAATGATTGACTAGTAATATAAATAATGTAATAAGTGCAAAAATAGATATGTGTATTTTTAAGGTTTTATAAAAAAAAAAAAAAGTAAACAAATATAGTATTTATGTTCATATTTTACTTATAACTATCATAGAAATTGATGTAAAGGTATGATCAATAATGTAATAGCATAACTTTTATTGGTTCCAAACACGGATGCTGAGAGAAATAAAAAAATCGAGAAAGCATCTACTCTTACCAAAGTGTGTGATAAAAGTAATAGCACACCTAGGCGATTTCAAAAATAAATTATAAATATTCAAAACAGTCACAGAAAGCTGCCAATTCCAAAACACAATGTGGAAGGGCAATTTTGAGATTCGCGCTTGGCGCAACTGGATCGAATGCCAAATTCGGCAACAGCGCAAGTATATACCTACATAGGAAAACTATATATTTCTTTAGGAACTAGCTCTTGCTCTGATTTAGTTGTGGCACCACGCTGCTTCGTTGCCTTGTCGCCCGCAGTCTGCAACCGACGCCAACGAGGCGACATTGAAGGCGAAGTTCAAGCCAAAAGTCGATTCTCCACATTCCGTAAGTATATTGCATTTCTTATTGTCCTACATTCCTAGAGGAATATTTTAATAGTACATAGCTTCATTTTTTATGAAAATGATTAAGCCGTTTATTTACATTTTCTTTTCAGTCGAATAAATGAAAATTCAGGGGTAATTGCGAAAGAAAGAGTTGAGCGAAATTTCTCTTTACATGACGTGTAAATTGAATCTTGTATCTTTAAATATTAGAAATTTTTAATTGTACTTTTGCAGCGGCATAACAACATACACATGAAGAGTTTCAAATAAATAAATCAACGGTTTTTGTTATATTTAAATATCTGATGTCCTCGTGCATTTTCCTGCTTCAAAAATGTTTTTTACGTTCATTAAATTCATGCGTCCTTCAATTTGTATTCGCAGATGTGAATTATTTTCCATTGATTTGCAAATTTTAAAACTCTGTATAGTGTAAGGTATCTCCATAAAAACACTTTTGACAAAGTAAAAAGTTGCATGAATGCTTACTATAAATTAAATAAATTAAGTAATTAAATAACTTAAATAAATTTTTTAATAGTATAGTCTCAATTACAATATATTAATCTTTGAAATATATTATTTTTTAACGATCCTATTTCAATACCATAAACAAATTTCTATAAAGTAAAATGTTGCATTACTTTATTTTTAAATGCGTTAATTTATTTTTTTAAATAACTATTTGTATCGAAATTGCTTAAATATTGTTTTTAAAGTTTTGAAAGTAGTGAAATCTATCTAAAGACGGTACAAATGCTATAAATTACTTTCAGATGATTTACATAACTTATTAAATAGTAAGTTAACTTAAACATAGCAAACTACATTCAAATAAATAATCTACTGTTCGCAATCATTACAAAAAAGGATGTTATTGATTATAGAGTTTTGAAAGTAGTAATGAAAAAATTTATCTGAAAATAGTACGAATGCTAAAAACTGTCGTTGAAAATAGCTTTCATATTTAATTGTCATAGTTTCAAAAGTATATTTATTTATTAAATATATTATCATAATTACAAATATTACAATATTGGAATATATAGAGTTTTGGAAAAAGTGATAAAATGAAAATAATGGTATAATGTAACTTATACGTTAAATGCTAGTCACCAATAATTTATATAAATTTTATATAACTTGCATTCTTGCCGAGCCTTTTGCTTGATTAAAATATATCGAAATTTTGTATCTGAATAGAATAATTATATAAAATTTACTCGAATTTTAATGTTGTTCCATATTTGATTATATCATAACATATATTTTTAGATTATTGGGTTATTGGTTTTACTTATTACTATTGACTTATCTTCAACCTTTTCTGAAGGTATTAGGTTATAAACATGATCTGATTTACTCAATAAATTATTTCTTATCTTAGATAGCAACAACTGCGAATAATATATCTTTTTTATAGAATCCTGGTTTGGTATTGATACTGTTGGCGAAAAGGTCCGCTTAATTGCCTCGCTTAACAAGAAAACTGAACGCTGTCGCACAACACAAAACATGCACACATACGCTTGAAGTTTGTGGGCCCACCGCAATAGAGATCACCGTAGACTTTTGTTGAGTTGTCTCAAAGGGACAATATTGGACAATATATTACCCTATTGGATTCACAGGAACTCAAAAGATAAGATTACTTTGGTGATTATAAAGTCCAATTGGCCTTTTACCTCTGTACGGAGTTGTTTTAAAACGAAAGCAGCACACAATTTGAGTCGAGGAACAGTGACTCCCTTCAGCGGTACAACGCGATATTTGCTGCAGATCAACCTCCTCGGGATCTGTCCCGTTGAGTCGATTGACCTTAAGAAAATACAAGCGCCGTATTCTTGAACACAAGCATCACAAAAGCCATGTAAATAGATTTGGACAGCATGGGGAGGACAAGGAGATGTCGAGGAAACGAGAAATCAGCCAACGGTGGAAGTTGAGTAGACAAAAGTTTCCACTTAGTATGGACCTCTCGAGGAAGGGAAGTTACTCTTCCCAAGTAACTTCTACCTTCCAACAATCTTGAACAAAGACCTTGATGTAAAGAGTCACTGGGCTTAGAAGTCCAAGAGGATCAAAGATTTTAAACAACTGAGATAACAATTTTCTTTTAGTTGACGTGACTTCTGGGTCGACTTGAGATTTATTGTACTATAATAGGTCATTTTAGCAATTCCAAACAACAAAGAGAGCGTCAGGATGATTCGACGCCCATTTCCGAATGACAAAGCCACCACGGAGAAGCACCGAGATCATTTCGTCGCGAATCTCAATGATCTCTCGAAGAGAATCGGCTCCGGAGTTTACTCGCTCGTCGGAACGGAAACCTCATCTCGAGCAAATTGCTGGATGATACGGATGGCCAGGAAAGGAGCAGCTGCAGTATCGAAAGTGACGGTGTTCAGCTGAAAGCTCCTAATCTGTCCCTGCTGATACCACAGAATTCTCTGGAATCTGCGAACATCTGGGTGAAACAGATGTTTCGCATTATCGAAATTTCAAGATTTTTCACTTTCTTCGTGAATTTTTTGAAATTTCAAGATTTTTCACATTTTACGTCAATTTGACGAAATTTCCTGGTTTTTCAAATTTTACGTCAATTTGATGAAATTTTAAGATTTTTCTCTTTTCTGGTCAATTTCTCTATAACCCAATGACCCAATAAGCCTACAACCCAACCCAAAGACCCAATTTCTCAAACTTTCAAGATTTTTCACATTTTTTGTCAATTTGACAAAATGTCAAGATTTTTCATTTTTTTCGTCAATTTGACGAAATGTCATGATTTTTCACAATTTTACGTCAATTTGACAACAATTCATGATTTTCCAAATTTTTCGTAAATTTATTGAAATTTCATGATTTTTCACAATTTTACGTCGATTTGACGAAATTTCATGATTTTTCAAATTTTTCGTAAATTTTTGGTAATTTCAATAATTTTCACTTTTCTGATCAATTTGTCTATAACCCGAACCCGAACCCAATCCAATAACCCAAGCCAATAACCCAATAGAAATCTTGCAACAAATTTGCGGAACATATCAAAATAAATCTGACTTTTCATAAACTGCCCGCAAATTTTTCTGTGAATCTTTTTATTATTATTAACTGCCTTTACAAAGACGAGATTTTAAATTACTATCAATTAAAACAAAATATTGAGAACAAAATAACCATAACCATAATACTGTATTACATTTCAGAATAAATTAACAAGATGAAAAAGTTCTATCAAAATTCTTCTACTCAATGAAGGCATTGGATACAGATTGGTTTTAGAACTATCAATAGCAATCAAAGTAAGTTTCTCTACATTTATCTCGAATAATTAATAAATCAGATTGTTCATTTACATTTATGTTACATTTTTTAGAGTTCAATAAAATGTTCAAAACTAAAAATAATTAATTAGGTTACTAAAATAATTGAATGGTAAATCAGCGACGCAAAACCAACTAAATTACATAAATAATGAGATTCAATTGATGAATTGACTGCAAATCATGAGCATATAATTAAATGAAGAGTGTACATGAATTCATTTTAAACATAGAATTGAGCGCAACAATGGCCTACAACAACAAATTTTATTTAAACGAATTCGTCCGCGAAATCGAAATCATAGATCTAATGGACAAAAAATCCGACACCGCGTGGATAAACGCGGTCAACATAGTCGGCGAGACGCCGGTTCACATTGCAGCGAGAAGACGAATCCTTGACTTGTTCGAATACATGTTACCTTATTGCAACGACATCGAAGCATGCGATGATCAAGGAAACACAGTTCTCCACCAATTGGTTGACAGCGACGCCGAGAGCGACGAAGAACACAAGCAAAAGCGCATTGACTTATTACGCATTGTAATATCCAAAGGAGCAGACGTTAACAAACGGAACAGACGTGGATCGACCTCTGTCCATCTCGCAGCTAAGCATTGTCACATCGAGGTATTGAGAGTTTTGAAGCGAAACGGAGCTGAGTTAGGTTTGCGTAATGGCGATGGCGAGTCAGCCCTAATACTCGCTTGCAAACATATGTTCAAATTACGTGGCACTCCAGCCGAAATGGATATTATAGATTTTCTGATGAGTGACGCTTGTGACGTTAATGCTGTGGATTACGAAGGTTTCTCAGCGCTGCATTATGCAGTACAATGGTGTAGTGGCAAAACTGTTATAAAGCTAATAGAAGCCGGTGCTGATGTCCATTGCCGTACTAAAGAACGACAATTCACACCGTTACACTTGGCTGCTAAAAGAAGAAATCCAAACAAATTGAATATCCTTGTACAATCTGCCGCAAATGTAAATTCTGAGGACATCGATAAATTGACTCCGCTACATTTAGCTTTGCTCGAGGGTACTGCGGAAGTAGTCGAACGTTTAATTAAATATGGCTCCAACCTCGGTTACCCAGATGCGATCCTGCAATTTACGCCTTTGCATGTAGCCGTGTATCAACAACGCGACGACTTAGTTAAATTGTTGATCGACGGAGGAGCTAACGTGAATAGCTCGGGTGTAGATGGCTCAACTCCTTTACATTTGTCCTCGGTGTTGGGTAACTTGGCATTTACGAAAATTCTGATTGATCACGGCGCAGACGTCAATGCACGCGACAAGAATGACTTGACTCCTTTGCATTTGGCAATTAGGCGATGCTACGACTTAGATCAACTTTTACATGATCTCAGAGGAACGAAAGCTGTAATACGCAGTAAAAAGGACAATTTAATTGTGAAATTACTAACTTGCGAACATGCACCGACCGATGAAGATTACGAAGCTGTTGTAAATTTGCTGATTGATAATGGTGCTGATGTTAATGTGATGACAAAACTCGGTGAGAATTTGGTCTATATGGCAGTAGAAGCAAACAACATCAATCTTGTAAAGATGTTGCTGGAAATCGGAGTGGATGTCAATTGCAAATCATTGGTCTCAGAATTCACACCTTTGCATTTGGCCGCTTATAATAGTTATAAGGCCGTAGCTGAACTTTTGATGAACGCTGGAGCTGATGTGAATGCTCTGACCAAAAACGGTAAAAATCCTTTGCATCTAACGGTCGAATCTAATTGCGGAGAGATTCATGGGCCACTTAACGAGCAAGCAAATCTTTTGGGATTTACACCTTTAGCTTCGAGTAAAAATTACAAAAATGTCGTTGAAATTCTAATCAATGCAGGAGCTATTGAAAATACTATTACTCTGGATGGTAGGAGTCTTGTGCATTCCGTTCTGGAATCGAATTGTAAGGAAGTTTTGCTGTTACTGGCGAGTCGTGGTGCTAAATTGCATTGTAACGGAAAGAGATGTTTGTACACACTTTTGTACATCGTCGTAGAGAATAGTGTTCAGGATATCAACAACAAATTTCAAGATTTGGAGAAAACGCCACTACTTGTGGCAATAGATCGATTACAGAACGCAGAAGTCAAGAAAGCACTTTTGTCGCTGTGTGCTCTTGTGAACGCGGGTAATCAAAATGATTGCATGACTGTCAATAATAACATTACACATAATTTTATGTACAACTTAAAGTGCCTTTTAGCGGTTGGTTTCGACATTAATGATTATGACGTGTTTGTTAAACTTATTTTTGGCTACCCAAGGAATGACGGTTTTGCACCATTCGATACTTGTCCTGTAATGTCGACTGTGAAACCATTTTCAGATGATTACCGTACTAAAACATCGCATGGATTGTTAGGATTGATTGCGGATCTTAGATCACAAAGTAATGAGTACCGTCAGGAAGTTGAAAATTTGAAGAAATATTTTATCAACGACGATGTTACACTATACGATTTACTTCATATGAAGTTTAAGAGAAGACGTTTGTATACTGATTATTTGAACCTTTCTGAAATAATGTCAAAATTTCCAATTTACTATGAACTAATATTGGCTCGCTATCGAGAAGCTGATATTAGAAAAATATTGCTAGAAGTAACTCAGATGGCATTACGTCAACTTATAGACGTAGATTTTCCTATTGTTTGTATCGAAACAATTTTTTCCAACGTAGAAATAATTAACATGATAGCAACAATCGAAGCTGCTGAATTAATTTATTAATGTTAGTGTTTTTTGAAATTTTAATTGATTAAACCATGATAAATTGATATATATTTCTAAATAAATTACAGTTAGTAGTATTTTTAAAAATGGAAAATTTTGTTGAAAGTAATCAAGCAGTCAGAAGTTAACTTCAAAATACTGGCGTTCGCTGAAATTTAAAAATAGTTATATTTCGTTGTTTAAATATATTTTTTTAATTTAGTCAATGTTTGTATACAATTACGTAGGGTAGTGACAAAATAAATGTTGAATATATCAACGCCGCGGAAGAAACGTAAAAATAATAAATAAAAAATAGAATGAAAAAAATACTAATTAACAGAATGTCAAAAACTAGACTTTACCATAAATGTATTATTAAATATTATTGTATATAATCCAACCCCCAATTAGAATTCGTAGAACGATGTTCAATTTTGAATTTGTCTGTATCTATATATTTTACTCTATAATATATCATTGTTAATGAACTGTTTCATATGAAAATAAAATTAAATATTAAGTTTCTAGAAATTGAAAATACATCGCAAGATTGTTAGTTCCCAGATGTTTAACTATTTAATTTTTGATGAATCTATTTTATTTCCATTTTCGGTCCTGAAACTTTCTACATAGCATTGATTTTCTCTCAGGCAACAAATATTTACAAGTCTTGCTTAATTTCTTTGTAGTTCTTTAAGGTCAATTATGTGTGATTGACTTAGATAGATAGCTTAATATGCTTATGTGATATAGTATGTCATGCAAGTATATAAGTCCCAGTTGACAAGTTTCAACGGTCGATATGTACTTTAATATGTATACATGAGATGTATAGTTTTACAATTTTTCATGAAATCTCTGTCAATTATTTTTCTTAGCAACGCTCTGTGATGATCAATCAAATAAATATCGATAATTTATGACATTATATTTGTGTTTTTATTTGCCCAAATCCAATCTATGAGGAAAAGCTTGAATATTTCAAATAACTCGTTGCATGTTAACGGTATAATCTTCTAATCGGTTATACAGTCATTAAATGCTTACCATTTAGTTCGTCATAACTAATAATAGCGAAAATTAGCGATGTTAAAACTTTTATTCTAATTATTTTCTCTCTTGATAAACAAACCTTCGCTATGCTAAAATATGTTCACTTCAAGATCATCTACGATTCGACAATTAACCAATTTGTTTTCTTCCAAATAACTAGTTTTAACAAATAAACTTGCTTTTCTGGAAATCTAGAACCAGATAACACTAAATAAACGACCTTTATAAAAATTTTAGTCATAGCTTTTTCTTTAACTATAACGCATAAAAAATATTACTCTTTTTCATAACTCAAATACTTGACTTTTAATACCTTATCATGTGTGGCTACTCCACGGACCTACGTTTATTTTTGTAGTTCGTTAAGTAAGCGCTACGTTATACTGGATTGCACAATATCGCCGTACCAATTTCTCTCTTCCAGTTGGTATACTTAAGTAAAAATAGTAAATCAACTATCTAATTTATCGCATCTATCAGATAAACGATAGACTGATATCCAAAGATTCGACGAAAACGTGTGGTCTAAGAGTTACGGAATCACCACGCATGACAGTCTTCATTTTACTGGTTTACAGAAGCTAATTTGATTTAAAAACTCGACTGATAAATGTTAAATTCTATATAACAGCTTTATCTTTCAATCTAGTTTTTTACGTTCGACTTGTTAATAAACATGTTACTCGATGTTTTTCATATTTCAAAAATCACGAAAACTTACCTGCTGTCTGTTTGAGATGTATATTAGAGCCCTTTGGTACATAAAAAAATGGATTCACTTTAATTTTTCAAATATTTTTATACAGTAATGAATTCATATGTAAACAGCCTCACATAATAATATTACCAAACTTAGAGATTTCCATCATTTCAAATTAGTATAGGTTTAAAATATAATGTAACAAGATCCAGTATATTTAGTCAAATTACACACGTTACAATTCCATTTGCTGGAATAATTTTTAAAAGAAACTTGCGTTCACTGCAACATTGAAAGCGCTACCCCTTGCCTCGTTACATTGTTCCAGATACACTTGTACGAATCAGCAGTCGATTTATCCTTATACGCTGCTGTTCCATTGTTCAACGTAGTCTAGTTAAAAAGGAGTCTGATTTTAAAAAGTGTAACTGAAACCGATGGCAAGTTCGAGAAAATGAAATAATTTTTCGTTTTCCGTGGTTTATTTGAAAACGATAGCATGTAGACTAATTGTTAATTGCAATAAATGCATTATACCGAAATCTATGCTAAAGAAAAATTATATCACTTTATACAGTGAGTTCCAAGGAATAAGAAGATTTTTCAAATAAAAAAAATATTCGTTATATTAAAAGTTATGAACGTTCCAAATTAGCAATAAATCTAAAACTTGTTATTTACGAGATCGCAAGGTATTCAACGCAAGGTCACCGAGCTAATTAGTAGCTAACGCGGGTCTGACCTCGCCCCAGGAGGGCCAGGAGAGACATCGGCCGGCCACCGCCGAAATTTCCCTCACTCTTGCGGCTTTTCTCTCCGCTCAAGGCCCAAAAGCTCGGAAAGCAGCTTTTATTGCCTTACTATATATATAGTCGCGTAGTCTGTTACCCCACTCCTCTTGCAAGTCTCATGATTCGGCATTGGTGGCGGCCCACTGTCTGCCTTATTCTTTGGAGGGGAGTAGAAATTTTAGTCCCTCCCTAATTTTTTTTTTTAACTCAAGGAACCTGTACGTTTCGAGTTATTGGGAGCCTTTGATTTACACGCGAGCTTGTTAATAAATTTGATGGCAATTTTCATCGGTGCACCTCCGTTCATGAACTTATAGCTATGCCTGCCGCAACAACACGCCGCGCGATATTGACGCACTAACGCAATTAATAACTAATAATGGCTACGCATGGTTTACTCACTTTTATTGCAGAAATAAACAAGCTGCGAATTAGAAAAATACACTTTGAACAATGCGCGTCGAATTGCAGTGACGTCGCCTCGCAAGATTTGTATAATATTTATTTCTTGCTGTTGTAAACGATATCTACAACGAGATGGTAAAATACATCATATTCAATGTAAAATTTTATACTCTATATGTTGGAATATTTTTTCCGCCATACACATTACCGTTTTCGAATAAAACGTGGAAAATAAAAAAAATTTTTCCATTTTCTCGGACGTGCCACAGGTTTAGAAAAAAAATGGCAGATTCGTGTACCTAAGTGTCGAAAGCCCTTGGCAATATTTTGGTACTATTTCCACCACTCTTTTTTGCATGAGATTTCTATTTGACTGGACTATAGTGTGGGTGTGACCGTCTTCAACTTTCGCACTCGTCCGCCTTAGTTATGCTGCACGAGTGCTCGAAACCTGGCAGCTGAAACAACGTGATCGTTCAGTTTCGCGTAAACAGTCGAGCCGCGCGGACACTTAAATTTTCTTACCATCCATCAGGTTTTTGGTACGATTCGCTTGGTTCTTATTACATAGATTCAGTTATTACTTTATATCTAGCACAAGGAAAAAGTGACCCTTTATCAAGGCTGATTGTTAGTGATCATTATCGAGGCTTTTATTGTGCAAATCATTGGTTTCATACTAGAATATACAGTGTCCAAATTGACCTGTAATTGAATAGAAGCCCAACGTCTGGACGCTATCGTAGGACGATTTCTATAGTATAACCGCAGAACTCTACAAGATTGGGGTTCAGTGAATTTGATCAAATCATTTTAAATATTACGAAGAAAACTCGCAACAAGGTATTACTTTGATATTTACTCATGCTTTTTCTATTGAAAATAGTTGAATACTAATTCTACGCCAATTTTTAAAATTTATTTATTTAACATAATGCTTTTCCATTGAACATGAAAAATAAGTTATTATTTTCATTTAAAAATTAAATATCATTTGATATTACATTTTTTACAGAAAAATTAATAAACGACTATTTAGTAGAAAATATTTAATATGACATAATCGTACATTTAATTATTCTTAAATAAATTATAAAATAATGGCCAGTTTTAAATATATAGTTCTTTTAAATATATAATTATTCGTGCAGATAAAGTTTATGTAGAGTATTTAGGTTCAATTATTTTATAATCGAATTTTTTGCAGAAATTATTTTCTTTTCTAATAAATAATATTTTATATGGCTAGATCCATTTTAAACACACTGATTCTGCATGATTTTATTTGACATAAATTTGTTTATTTGTTTCATTGAATACAATGATATTTAATTTAAACACAGATGTGTTTGCGTGTATGTGTTTGTGTAAAAAACTTAGCCGATCGTTAAAAATAATACGTGTAGGAAAAAAATTAGTCCCGTGTACAATATTATTCATTTATATTCGATTCCGTGTATATTATAGAATATTAATTTTATTAAGGACGTTTCCTTGGCTATAGGGGTTTTCGACCGCGGTTGCGCGCGGAAAAAGGGATACTTGCGTTTATCTCATTTTTAACAAGATTATAAACAAATTTAAACAAAAAAATTCAAAACTACTGTTTAGAGTATCTATTTTCTAACAGTTGTTTCAAAAATGTGATATGTCTTTTCGTTTATTTATAAAAATTATAACCTTTAAAGTTACCAAACGTGTAAATTTAATGAACAAAACTTTGTTACAAACGTTTGAATATCTAAATATTTTCAAGACTGCTTTGTTTATTGATATCTCTAAATTTAGTATGTGTATACCAAATTTGAGGTCTTAATATTAAAAAAAGAAAAATACGGAAGCTATCTGGTGGAGCGGCATCTCTCAGCGGGCGCAGTTTTTAATAACATTTTCATTTATAAGTTTTAAAAGAGAGCCGATTGGATAGTATTGTTAATATGATTATCTATGCAGCACAAAATTAGCTTTCTTTGTGGAAAGTAATGCGATATTCTAAAGAAGCGTTCTATGCTGTTTTTTGGCTAGAATACATTAAGACACGGTTCCCCATATATTTCTCCATAAGA